CTTTCTTAGTTAAATCTATTATAGTAGAACCGAAACGGTTAGCCTAATTCTCTAAAGAATAAAGGTTATTATCAGCTTAATTAAATATTTTAATAAAATCGTCGGTATATTCAATAACGGCTATAAATAAGGCAATACAAACCTATATTTCTAAAAATATAACTTCGGAGGCTGCCTAAACTATAGTAATAAATTGTTCGTACGTTATAGGACCGTTGAAAGACTTCGACTTAAGGTCGGCCTTACCTTTAGAAATTATAGGAGTGAATAGTATAAAAGCAGTATTATTATAATATATATAATTAAGAAGGGCGAGGAGTCGCTCCTTCAAATCGCGAGTAGGAACTTCTTTATTAATAAAATAGTAAACGTAATAGGCGATAGGTTGGACGTAGTCGAAATAATATTTATATAACTATTCGAGGGAGAGGCCTAATAAATCGAACCCCTTGTTATCCTCATCGTCGGTATTAATAATATAAGAAGTAGTATCCTAATAATTAGGGCCGTAGAAATTATTAAAGTTAAGGGATTTGTATCGAACTTCCGAAGGAAGTAATTTACTATCCTTAAGCATATACTTTCTCAAAACGCTAGGGTCGAAGTAAATATAATATAATTATATAGCTTCAGTATTATTACGAACTATCGTAACGGAAGTAATTTCCTATTATTTAGTAATTAGTAACCTAATTAATAATCAATTCAACTCCTCTTCGGAAATCCTTTATTAAAAAAGCGGGGGGATTGTAACATACTAAGTATTTAATCGTTGGCTTACCCCGTCGTTAATTCTAATTATCGGTCGTTATATCGCTACGTCGTAACTCTTCCTCAATCTCTTTTTATTAAGTAGGATATTTAATACCGTTCCCAGTAAAGAAATAAATCGTAAATAGTGTGAGAGTATATAACGAGCGAAGTATAACTATAGCGTCATTGACGTTCAATATAGAATTTACAATTAAAGAGTAAAATAAAAGATAAGAGTTGTACGCGCAGCTGGCGGTGGGAGATATACTCCCCGAGCCCGGTCCGCTGCGGCCCACTCTTCCTTATCTAATCTACAACCAATTACAGCCATTGCATCCATCCGTGCATTCTAGTACAGTATTCTGCCAAGGTATAACCCGTCCGACTGGGCTATAACAAGTATAATTAACATTATATAAAGAGACTAATTATTTTATCCTTACGGCTATATTATTATTAATAATATCTTATATATAATTTTACTATAGCTATTTAATCTCCTTAAGTAATATCGTCCTAAAGCGCTACTTACAAAGTTCGCTATTATCTTATTTAATTTCAACCTCTTTAGATAAATTATAATCTTCAATAGGGGGTAATTTATTACGACTAGTAATAATATACAAACTGACTATATTAAATTAGACTTATATTGACTTAGGGTATTTAGGGCGCGGCGGCGGTACTAGAATAACCGGTTTACAAACAGTACGAGGCTAGGCCGGTAGCGCTAAAGTAATTAATTTAATTAGGGAAGCTACCTTACTATAATTATTATTTAATAGATAAAATAAAATATTAAAAGCCCGCTTCTTAAAAGTAAAATAGACGGGGAATTATTATTTAATTTCGTTATTATTACTAAAATCCTCTTTGCTACTAGAAATTTTAATGGGTATCGCGGGCTTAAGGGGGGATAACAGCGGCTCTAGCTCTAATTTTAATTTTAGCGCTAGATTTCTAGCGGGAGCCTTCCCCTTTTTAACGGCAATCTTCTTAATAGTAACCTTCTTAGGAGTAATTTTAATAGGAGTAGCCTTCTTCTTAAATAAAATAGTCTTAAGGATAACTTTAATAGACTATTCGGTTTTACAGTTCTTCTTTTTAGGGTAGAGGGAGGCGCGTTATAGAATTATTAGGCTAGGATCTTCCTAATCTTAATCTTCGTCGAAGTAGACTGCTAGCGCGCTACTTCGAATATAGGAGCGCTTTACGCCGGCGGGTTTTGAATTGAAGATTATTTTAGGAGGTATTATTGTAATAAATTTAATTAATTATTAGTATTTTAATTACTTTGTACGTTAAAATAGCTTTAAATTAATATAGAAATTGTTGTTAAATAATAGATTTTAACAAAGTTGTACAATATAGAAGTGCGGTGTGTGTATGTGTGTGTGTGCACGCACGCACGCCCGCCAAGACTGCACAGGTGTTTGAGTGTGGGAACGAATGCGACCGTCTCGGGCGGTCACCAAATTGTTTTAGTAAGCAGCTCCATGACGCAAGAAATTACTGTGGAAACCCACGTTTTCGGGAGCCGTCGGTGGAGACCCGCGAGCACTTCTTCAATCGGTCCCGTTCCTAACAAGATTGTACATAGTGTATTACTGAGACCTTTGGCCGCGTTCTTGGCGGGTAATCAGGGGCCAACTGCCGTAGGTCTCATCAATCTTCAGTTGTCAGGGACGAGCTTGGTCCGCCTAAAAAGATTGAGTTGACCCAAGTGCTCTGGTACCCAGAAAGGAAGCCGTGTGAATTGGCATGGATATAATGCCCACTGACCCAAGGAGTCAAGTCTCGTTCCTGTACCTAATATGGATGTATCGATGTCTAGAGGCGACCATTACTCTCAAAAGAACTGAATTCAATAGTGTACTATATATATACATAAGTGACGGGATAGGGTTGGACCGCTTCCCCGGAACGATGCCAAGCTTGGGGTTCTGGCCTACTCTCCAGAGATAAGTGCTCGGCCCCACAGACATTCCGGGGACCGGGACCCACGGACCCCGTTGCAGATACATAGTGTAGTAGCGGGATGACTTCCCGTCGACTTCCAGACATGACTACATACCAGCTGATCCATGAATCTTTCATCGCGGTTTTGAGGCCTTTTTGCATTAAAATTGAAGGGTCGAGTTAGATGGCGTGGATCGCTCAAAGAAGTTGAGGTGTCTCCCGTCGACCAGACGCCGATTCTCATAAAACCCTGGCTCATCTGAGCGCCAGGATGAGTACACTACAAGTACAAGGTTCACCGCAAACCGGACCCTGAAAAGGAAAATGAAGTTGAGCTCTAGCGCCTAGCTGCCATGGAGAGATCTTTGATTCTATGGCCTAGTTAGTGTATAGGGCTCGATCACGCGGCAGAGTGACGATCCGGCCAGCTTGCCGATTCGCACATCTGGGGCCTGGTTCTCCGTGCGTAGGGCAGAAAGTGTTCTTATCCCCGTTATGGGACATACTTTCCAGCACATTTTCGTCGATAACTCCGAGCGTTCAATCCCTACAGGGGTTCATGGATGTTCTGGTCAAACTGTCCCCCTCGGCCTGTTGCCTACATACCTGCCTGCCAGGCCTGCACCCATCAACACCAACCTTTCATCCCATCTCATCTCTTCCCATCCCGTCCAGCCGTCTGCCCGCACCCACCAACCACTCCTTCCCATACCAGGCACCTAATGGCTCTATAATTGCTCTCTTCGGTACCTGTAATCACCAACAACCGCTTGGCCGAATGGCGCAATGGTCTACCGTCCTAACACCTCAAACCCCCAAACTTCCTGTCCGGTTGGGAAACGATGATGTACATTCAAGTAACCGATAGCGTGTTCCACATCGTAAGCCCTGTCCACAATTAAGGATCTGCAGGTGTGAGCAGCGACAGAAGAAGGTAATCACAAGTGCAAAGTCACCCCCAACAAAAAAAAACAAAAATGGTTAGGGTGTTTCGATGGTTAACCGGTGTGCGCTGATCGGTTGAGCGGTTGTTGGTATTTTTTATGTATCTTTTTGTACCTTTATCGGACGGTGATGGTAGAGGAGGGTTGTATCTCGCAAGGCTGCGCGTTCGACTCATTGTCCTCCTGCACTTTTTTTTACCCCTTTTCTTTAAGTTCCCAACGACTGTCCAAGGCTCTACCCGTCTCCTCTGTCTTCTTCACACTCTCCCGCCCCTTCCCTCCCTCCTTCGCAGCCTCATACCCTCCTCTACACTCCAACCGCCTCTCTAAACAACGGTTTCCCGATCCCTCCACCCCGACTCCCTCCTCAACTTCTCATCACTAATCCACTGCGAGAAAACAACCACCAGATCTAACGGCCATGCGTTCTCCCTCTCTTTCAAGTCCTCCGGCTTCACATCCTTGATCCGCCCACGGTAGGCCACGCCATATTCTTCGCACAAAGCTCTCACCACCCCACCCCATCCACCGTCTCCTCCCTTCCTAGTTCCTACTGAAGAGATGATGAACACCTCCCTTTCCCACCGTGTCTACTAGTGTACCACCGCCCCTTTTCCTTTACTTCTTGTTGCAAAAGAACACTCCGCCAAAGCAACATACCCCTCCCCTCCCGCACATTGCTCGGCATCCGCACTGCAGGATTGGAGATGGGACTTTGAGAGTTACTCAGGCTGGTTTCTAGCATTTTCACTTGGGTCTCTCCGCGTTGCTAATCAATCGAAAACGCTGCATGCTGCTTTTGGATGAGATACTATAGAGAACGGTGTTGTGGGAAGAAATGAATGATATTTCCCGTAGTAGGCATGACATTTGAGCTCTCTTTTCCGGTCGGTCGAGTCACAAGCGCTTGCCAATGACGGGTTGATATTCACGGTGGAACGACAGCATGCGTCAGGCGGTAAGGGTAGAAATATTCATCATCATTAACTATCATGGGCATGTTTGCTAGCTACCTAGGAAGCGAAGACACAAAAGTTCGAAATGATCGCTTGAAGGTAAACAACAGAAAAAACGGGACATATCAACTTACCAGTGGTTTAGTTCTTACCCAGGCTGTGTTACATCTGAACCTAGAACATCGTGAGCAGCTTTCAACTCAAGGCGAACGATGGGATACTTAGCTGAGAGGGTTTTTATCCGACCGCAAGCCGCCAGATGGGAACGGTCGGATGCGATTCATCACTGCTAAGCGTTAGTCGTTTACTCATGCAAACATAACACCAAATCAAGGGGCATGAAAAAAACTACCAGCGCCGGCCACCAAGGACCGACGCCGCGCTTGTACTGAAATAAAAGGGATTTACCATGAAAAAACGAAGAGCAGATATGTACAGTCACGGGACATATGTACAGGGGTATCGGTAGTAGGCCCATCCACCATGCCCTCAGGCTCCAAAACGCCAAAACTCCCTGCCATGTGCTAACTATCAATTCTCTTGCGTCCCCTGAGCCTCGTCCTATTCGATGACGGTTTGTGGACGCGACTAGAACTACTTGTCTGTGTCTTCCTCCCCTGACTCCTTCCTCTTTGCAAGGGGTTCAACATCCTCTGCTTAAGCCTATTCATGTATCCTGTTTCCTTCCAACGGCGAGCTGCGTCGTCAACCACCTGGGTACGGTGAGTCGGCAGCTCTGGCTTCCTGGGGTCAGGTTGCTGCATGCTACTCCGGGTTTCTTGACCAGAGAGAGGACGCGCAGATGATGGTGAAAGACTCCGGTGTCGTCGACAGGGCAGCGATGGCTTCGTCTGCTCGAAGAAAGCTGCGGCATGATGCTCGGGTTTCGGGGTTGGTGTTTCTGCTTCGGAGGTAATCGAGAGGTCCTTGGAATGATCCGAAGATTCCTTTCCTGATGCCACTTCGGGAATGGCATCCTCCTCCTCCTCCTGCTCAGGAGCAGGTGTGGTAACCTCCGACACGTCATAGAGTGTTGAGGCTGACGATTCCAAATGGTCGGATTCGTATTCGGAGTAGGAGAGGGTACGGGCTGGGGTAAGGGCGAAGTCCGGTTGAGAGCCATCCGCATGGGAATCCACAGACGAGTTCGAGCACATGGTCATGGAGCGCGGAGACGGCGGCAGGTGGTCCTTAACAATGGACTCCTCATCTGCAATTTCGAGCGGCTCCTCTGTCATCATGATCGGATCGCAGTAGTAGTCATCGTCGAAAAGAGAGGGGCACGAATCAGCACTGCTGGAGGTGACAGAGCCAGAATCGGCGGATTTGTGCCAGGGATGTTGCTCGGGAAGGTATGATGCAAAGTATCGAACAAGCGAATCAAGCGACCTTGTTCGGAAGAGCTGGACAGCGTGCTGCCACTGATCGGTCCCAATCAGGGAAGGGTTTCCAATGATCTCGAATGCTGCAGATTCAAGAGACTCGTTCAGTTCGCGAACGCGGAGTTGCTTCCGCTCGGCAAGGAGCTGATGTAACTCATCGGCGGTGGTGGCCCTGTGTGCTAGTTCGTAGACGTCATGGTGAAAGGCCTCGGGGTCGAGAATGGCGAGGCTAAAGGTGTTGTACTGATCGTGGAGCTTGGTTTCGAGGTCCTCTCGCTGTAAGCCAAACTTCCAGTAAGGCCATGTCCATCCTGGTCCGGTCGGATCGTCCATCTGGGGAGAAATGCGGTATGATGAAGGGGGTGGGTTCGGTGTGTCGGTCGAGGTTGAGTAGGGGTCCAAATGCGAACAAGAAGAGAAGATTCAGTGGGTATTGTATTGCTGTAATTAGATAGGTCGTAGGTAGGTAGTAGAGCTGGAAGGTTTTGCGTCGTTTCGTAGTTGGGTGGGGGACAGAGATGAAGCCAAAGTCGAAAACCGGGTGAGTGGTGGTTCACCTCAAGGTGATGGGATGTTCAAAATCAAGACTCGTGGGCCTTGCACTGGTGCAGAAAGCCATTTAGTAACCGACAAAATCACACATGGTGAAGGGATAAGTATCTATTGATTTTATTTTTGGTGTTTTGGTGGAAAGGTAGGGGTCCGATGCCGACGGGAGTCTCAATCGTGCTCAATTGCAGGTGAGCTTGAGGTTTGAAGGTGAGGTAACGACGGCGGTGATGGGGAGATGAAGGCGTTAAGCGGAAGGAGGACGAAGCGAACGGGGGGGATGCGCTGGGTGTTGGAAAGACCATCAGAGTGCTGCGACGCCACAGACTGTCTCGCCAGACGGCCCCCAACGCCAGATGGTCTGGGTGCTTGGCAGAGATGTTGCCCAATGAGAGGGTCGCTGAGGTGGGCTCGGCAGGAAAGGGAACGGAAAGCGGGACACGAGGAGCTGCGCCTGCGGCCGGAGGGTTACACTCAAATAACACCCAGCCAATCGAAGCGACAACCACTCACACTGATTGCTACACAATAATCCTCTTCCGGTCTAGCTTCTACAAGACTTGCATGAAGCACATTTTTCGTCATCCCTCACTTCGCGCGCTGTTGTCTCTGGAATGCCCGATTGCGGTCAAATCATTGCACTTTCGACCTGGCACCCTCCCATTCCTTGCAGGTCATCAGTGTGTGTGCCTACCGTCGTCCGTCTTTCCGTCATCGTGACTTGCGCTGCCCTCCGTCCGGTACGGCGATTGAGGTTTTCTTTCAGATCATGATGAATCATCGAGACTTTGTTGACGGGCGACATCTTTCGGTTGTGAAATCAAGACTTTGACGATGCTAGCTCAAACGAGTCATGACAAAATCATGACAATGGCGGCCATTCACGGGTGAAAACAGCATCGATAAATTGCAAACGCCGTCCAGCCGCTCTTGCCTGGAACAGCAACTGCAACAACGCGACCTTTTCGAAACCCCCCACCCTCTTCCCTTCCTTCCTCACCCCATCAGGCAGCCCAGCGCCAACAGAAGAAGGCGCACCCAGCCGCAAACCTGAGCCATCCTTCAGTTGTGTTGAGGTTCATTCAGTTCCAATTCGAGGGAATGAAATCAGGGAAGGCAGCAATGAAATGTGCCGGTTGGGTTCACTCCAGTCTCTCGGCAAACGAGGGCTTTGAGGTGTGGCAATACAAACCGAAGGATCGAGGGCGCTGACATCAGAAATGAGTGCAACTTGGAGACCGAGCGAGTGTCAAGATGCGAGTCTGATCGACAACCTCCGACTCCCACTCACTTCCAAAGGCTCACCACCAGGCTCGTCATCAGTGGGAAACCTCTTCCCTTTTATGGTTCAACTCCGTTTGTATGACGGAAGCCGGATGTCCGAATCGACACTACAACATGAGCACATGTGTTGTGACCCGCGTGTGCTTGTTGCTGATGATGAGAGACTCGACTCGGTGCCAGAATCTTCACCGCGGTGAGTTAGTGGGAGGAGGAACGTGACACAGGGAAGCGACCGAGGGCCCATCGGCGATAAACCAGATGGCATCAACTGACGATAGCAAGTGGTCGCCTTGGCAGCTGACGGCCCCTCATGTGGTGCTGCCTCGAGAACCCGACGCGCTTTCCAGTTTCAGGTGGACCACGGATGAACCAGTCAGACTCGATTGTCAACGCTGTTCTTGGCCATCGGGGGCAGGGAACATGGCGCCAATGAAGCCTCATGAGGCCCAACACCAGCGTGGGATGGTCGTCGTCTAGTCGGCTGTCGTCCCTTACAAATACTATATCCTGCTTTCCTGGCCATCTTCTTTTCTTGTGTTGGAGGTTTTCCGGCTCATGGCTCTGCATTTTTGCAGTCCTTGAATCATCTGGTCGTCCGTCTCAAAGTCGAGATAGACGATGTGACAGGCGGGGGGCACGGGCTGTGAGGCACTGCACTAACATGGCAGCACCGCCCTCTTCGGGAAGTTGTGCTAGCTAGGCACCAGCCTCAACTCACTTTTACTATCTGGTTGGACTGGTCAGGTCGGGTCATCTCTTCTTCGTCGCGTTTCGATTGATGACTCTCTCCCCCCCTCTCTCACACTTTCCCCTCTTCTCTCTCGCCCTGTTCTGAGCTTCTCTGACCCCTGGCGCACACATCTTGTCTGACATTGCAAAGAAAACGGCCCGGAGCTCTTGTTCTTCCATCTTGTTCGGCGAGGCTGAGACTAAGGTATCCCATCAGGAGGCTTGCTCTTCCACCTGCCCTCGTCTCGTCCGTTCATCTGACAACCTATTGATGGTCATTCTGCAACAATAGCAATTATGGCTCCTTGAACACGACAATAACTTGTTTTTGTCCTTTGCAGCCCGCTGGATTTGTTGCAGCAGGGCTCTTGCTTGGTTCGCATTTAGTCTGACCAACGCGCTTCAGTTCTTCTTTTCAGCGGTAGTCTGCCGAATCACCTTGGCTATACTACAGCTGCCATTCGCTCTATCTACGCTCTTCTATACCACTTTACCACAAACCCGATTTCCATAGCCGCCTACCAGTTGGTTTGATAGAACGCTTGAACCATCGTTCAACCAGCACAAACATTGCAATACCTTGTCCCTCGATCCGTGCACCGGCCCGCGGCATGGTTGACTCCAAGGAAACCTCCGAATTCTCGGAGAAGACGGAGGCCTTCTCCCAGTCCGAGATCCTGGCGCGGTTTCGAGATGACCGCCGCGAGAGGGAAGAACTTCAACTTGCCCTTAACAGCACCGTCTCGCTCGATAGCCTAGTTATTCCACCGGATGAGGACATTCGAATTCTTTTCAGGCCGCCCCGAGGGCGACCGGTCAGTCCAGGTAGCTTGGAGAATTGCAGGTGGCTAGCTCTGCGCGCCGAGGTTGCAGGAAAGGATCAGGCACAACACAAGGTGCTTGCCGTCACGCAAACATCCCGGGATATCAAGTTCTCTGTCCGAATCCCCGGCATGCTGTGGTGCGAGCTCTATTATGATCCGGCCAGCGATAAGCTCATCCTTGTCAATCGTTCCAATGCTCCATTCATCCTATCCCGTGCCTCCACTGCCGTTCCAGGGGATAACGAGGAATACGAGGTCAATCCAGGCTTCAATAAAGACGTCTTTCCAGGCACCTGGCGGATCAGGTTCTACAATTCCGATGTGCTTGACTTTCGTATCCTTGAGAAAAAGCCAACGCTTTTCCGGATTCCATCTATCGATTCATCAACTTCATGCCAGCTCGTGAGAAAGCGCTCCTATGTGGGTGATGAAGAAGATGAAAATTCGAGCAACAAGAAGCCTCGAGGATCCGAGGACATCGAAATCAAGAAAGAAGACACCGACATTAAGGAAGATGGCGTCATCATGTTCTTGCCAGCAAAAACGAAGCCGCTCGTTCTTCCAGGCCTGACTGGGGAGAAAAAAGAACTCGTCTCCGCGAACGGCAGAAGAGAGCTTATTGCATCCGACGGAAACCTCCTTCAAATTCAACCTGACGAGACGGTCCAAGTTACTGGTGGCGAGCTTGACGAGTACACACTCACAAAGAAGTCGGACATTGCCTCGTCAAGCTTATCGAGCGTTTTCACCGCTGACCACTCAAATGTGCCAGATGGAGTTATTGTGGTAAAGGTGCTTAAGACCCGAACTCCCGCCACCGTCAACAACACCGCTATGGAATCCAGGAACGTGATCCATCAAGCCGATGTCTGGCTTCGAGAGCTTCAATATCAGGAGAGGCTCCAGCACAAGAGCATCGTACGTCTATACGGCGGCGACGCTCGCTTCCTATCTCTGTACATGGAGCACGTTGATGCTCGAGATCTAGGATCCAAGGGAATGTGGCGACGGATGAACGACCGGTTTGCCGGTGACCGATCAGACGCAAAGCGCATCGTTCGGGACATTGCCAGTGCCCTACAGTACATCCATGGTCGCGGTCTAGTCCACAATGACATCAAACCCGCCAACATTCTCTACAGCAGAGAGCGTGGGGCCGTCCTGTGCGATCTAGGTCTATCGACCCATGCCAGGGACCCCCCTTCAATCGGCGGTACACCATGGTACATCCCACCAGAATTCATTGCCCTAAAACAACGTGGAGCCCCCAGCGATGTTTGGGCCCTGGGAGTGACCATGCTGTACGTCATGGGGAAGATCGCTTTCCCGGACGCTCGTGGCAACAGAGCGCATCCCCAACATCTTCACTGGCTTATTGCCAAAGTTCACCCAAACCCACGCGATCGGAACCCTCAGCCGAGCGCGGTCAAACACATGCAGCAATGGCTGGGTGAAGTCAACATGGCTCGTGCACAGCTCGATACGCGAGATGATCAAGAGAGGCTAGTGTACGATATGCTATCACCAAATCCAAACCAGAGAATCACGATGAGGGAGATCGTGGCTCGAGTTCACGACCAAATCCCAGAGAAATGAGAGAGTATAGTACATGATATATCGCGATATCTACACTGGCCATAGACACCTGTATCTACGCACCATTTTGGTTGAAAACAAGGAGGATTTTTATCATCTCACACAGTAAGTCAATAACGCTCCTTCTCGGGTCATAAACTCATGGTAGCGCTGCTCACACCCGGTAGTATTGAATCTTGTATCTTCAAACTTGGTGATGATATCAATTACATCATCACAAGCTCGCAATTTCCGTGGCATCATCAACAAAAACCCGAACCTCGTTCCCCTTTTATAGCACCATACCAGTCACAAAGCTCAACGCCATACCCACAATGGCTGTAAGAGCGACCTTGTCCAACCCAACGAGCGAAGCACCACTCTTCTTGCCGTCTGCGCTCTCGCCGCCTCCGGTGCTATTGCCGCTCGGCTCCTTGACCTGAACAAACGACACCTTATCATCAGTCTTGCACTCATCCTTCGATAGCGCCGTGGCGTTGGCGCGGAACGTAATATCGGCGCACTGTTGTCACTCCTGATTAGCATATCTTTTTTCCCCACTCATCATCTTCTCTCCCCATTTCAACAGCCGAATGAAAGGAAAAACCCACGTTATACAAAGCACTGCCACTCGCCGAAACCGTAACGACTTGTATACTTCCCTCCTGGCCATCGGACATGGTCAAGCCCTCGGGAAGCGGCAAGTCAACGCAGAGTGTACCCGCTCCCGTTACGTTCCAGAACGTGGGGCCGGTGAGGGTGTAGTTGAAGTTGGTCACGTTGGCGCCCAGACCGAGGTTGACGAACAGGTACTCCCACGGGTGGTGCAGATCGAGCTTGACGCTGCCGCCTTTAAGGGGCCAATCGGTACGGTTACCGGAGGTGGAGGTGGCGGGGGGGACGCCGGCGCCTGTGGATGGGGAAGGTGTGTTAGTTTTCCATTTGGAGGTGGGAAGTAGAGGAGGGAACTGAGGGGAGAGGGATGGATTAAGCTTACAAGGGTAGTTCCATTGGGAGTAGTTGCTGCCGGACTCCAGGGTGTTGGCGCGCCAGACGGGGTATTCGAGGTTGAAGTGTGCGGAAGCGAGAGGCGCGATGGCCGCTGTGAGGAGGAGAGTTGCTGAAACCATTTTCGTTGATGTTCGCTGACTGCGTGGATGGTTGTTGTCGGCGCGTGTCGCTTAGGGATCCGAATTATTACAAAGTCGCGGAGCTTTTCGGGAAGTACGTGCGTAACCAAACATTATTAAATGGTTTGTTTGGTTTTTATTTATCGGCGGTTGATGTATCCTCAGTCCGGTGGACGGTTGAAAAGCACGGGCGAGTCGAGGAAGGGGGGGAAGACCTTGTACTTGTTTGCCAAGGGGAAAGAACACAGCTCTTTAATTCCGCAGATTCGAGAATTGACTGATGAATCCCATTCACCGAACCGATGAACAACAAATTGAGCAAGTTGTTGGTGCCACCAACGTGGAATACATACCTAGGATGCGTGGCGGCGGCAGGCCCCACTATCTTGCTCAAGCTCAGTGCAGCCTTGATACGTAGCTTCTATGTATCCAGGTACCATTTCCGGGACGTACCTTCCATTACCTACCTACTTTACCTTTTACCTTCTCAGCTGTGAATGACAAGGAAGAGGAGGGGAAGTGAAATAATCCATGGTCGCAACTTCGCAGCAGCTTCCATATCCAGCTTTTATTTCAAGCGGGAGCATGGCAGCTTCCAGGTCTCTTTTTTTCTTTCTTGGCAATCCAATAACCTCACCAAAACGGGACACTAAGTGAGCAAGTTGTACATAATTCAAAAAGGCGTTCCCTCCCCCGTCCCATCTGGTGTCCTCCTTCCACCTAGGTAGGTAGCCAGCCCTTGCTCCCGTCTAGTCGAGGTTGAGGTCGTCTTCGGTTTCCTTTCGATGTCACGGTCTGGACACCAGAATCGGATTGAGAAATGCCGCTTTGCATTGGTGAAGTGCTCTTTTCTATGAACGATTCGGGCAATAACATTAGAGCCGTAGATATGTATCCAGTTCGATCGAGGGTAGCGAAGAAACATGAAAGCTGGGCCAAGCAGAACCTCACAACGAAAAGGACCAGAAGGTAACGTCGTGGCTTCATTGCCAAGTACCTACTCAGGTTTTCGCGGGGTTGAAGGAAGGATTGGTGGTTGGTCGGTGTTAGTTGGAACATGTAAACTTGCTCAAATGAACGCGCCGCATGAGGTTGGGGTTGGTCGGGGTTGGGGAAGTTGCATGCTGCAGGGGCATGCGGGAAGGGACCATCACCACTAACTAAGATCCAACGAAGCTCCAAGCTCCCAAGCACGCTCATACCCGACAGACAAGCTGGCACCTTTTTCGGTCGTAACATACATGGCGATCAGCATATTTGAAGGTGCCACGCAGCTTTTTTTTGGGTTATTGGTATAGCAAGGTAGGTAGGTACACTTAGTTGGTGGGTGTTATGGGCAAAGGTTAATAGGCGGGGTAGGTACCTACCCAAGTACCGAACCTTAGGTACATAACCCCGGATTTTTGGCCTTGGGCGGTGGTTCGTGCCAGGTACTTACATAACAGGGGGGGTCATGTCTTTTTTCCTGCTCGTTGATGCAGTCCCGAAATTGTGTTCTATTATAGACCTCAACCTTCCGACTTCAAGGTGCGCGTCGAGATTTACAAAATCTTGGGGAAACTGAACCATGACTTCTTTTGCTGTTACAGTCGCTTTGCATCTGAGGCATAGACAATTCGGGAGCGCACGTGGATGCTTTGTCAGATGAACAAGTTCCGCATGAAAGAAATCGATGGGATGAACAAACTGCGTGGTACCTGATCGGCATTTTGTCTGTGCAGCGCGTTGCAGACGAGAGTTCGGATGGTGTTCCGGGTAGTCGGTAGTGTATTCTTCAAGAAACAAACTACGTCACAAAATTGCGACGATCAAGTTGGCTCTTCGCTGTTGTGCTGCTGACTACATGTATCCTACCGTGTTTCTCCTCTTCAACATTGAGCGAAACAAGGTTTCATAAGGACATACGCCAGCAATTCTTGGCAATAACCACAAAAAGCGCCAGTGGTTTAGTGGT